AGGCCCGTCACGATAACAAATTTTGCTGGGCGATTAATTGTCTCAGAAATTATTGTGATAAACGATAATATTGTTGGGCAGCACGGTGGCGCAACTGGTAGAGCTGCTGCCTCTCAGCGAACAGGTTCGCGGTTCAAATCCCGGTCTGGGGGCCTGTCTGGGTGGAGTTTGCACATTCTCTCCGTGCATGCGTGGGTTTTCTGCGGGTTTCCTCCCACAGACCAAAAACATGCATGTTATACTGGTTGGTAACTCTAAATTGTCCCTAGGTGTGAGAGAAAGCGTGAATGATGGTTTGTCTCCATGTGTCCCTGTGATGGACTAGAGAACTGTCCAGGGTGTACCCCGCCCCTCGCACAATGATGGCTGGACATGGGCACCGGCGACCCTCGTGACCCAAAATGGAAGAAGCGGGTAAAGATAATGGATGGATAATACTGTTTGAAATTTGACAATAATTTGTAATTATTGTCAAATTTAAGAAGAAATGTTGGTTAATTTTTGTGTGTAGTACCTTTTTTCACCACTGGATGGTAGTATAAGACTGCTTGAACTGAAGGATGGATAGTGAGGGAGCAAGCAGCGCGTCTCTTTTATTAAAAAAAATGGGAGGGAGGCCCCTTGACGTGACATGGGCTGTCTCTCATTCCTGTTTTTCAGTTCTCTTAATGGCGGACGCTCTGTGTGGTTTGAGTTCTTTAGCATAGCATTTGTCACACAAAGCTAAAAATAAGTAAACAACTTCTCAGCTTCTTTTTGCAGAGAAAAACAACTTTTTAGACAAAGGCACGGGTTTCAACCGTGAATTTTGGAGCTTCGACAAGACGGAGGTTTTTTTCCCCCAATGTCGGCCTGTTAGCTTAGCTCGTAACTTAGCTTCTCAGCTTAGCTGCTTTTAAAGATCCAAAAACGTGATTTTAGATGGTTAAAACAGATTCTAACGAGAAAAGAGAAAGGGAGGGGTCAGTGAAGTTAGTTGAGTCTTTGTATCATCCAGTGTCTTTGGAAAGAGAGACACGAAGAAACGATAAAGCCAATAAATGAAAATGAGGTCAATAATTTTTATTTATCACGCGATTAATTGATTTATTGTTTATCGCGACAGGACTAGTTGTAAATAACTCGGCTACCACCACAACAAACTGTATCACAATACACGTAGGACTGACTGAGTTATAGATATTAATGTGATGTCTAGGAGCCTTTTCTTTAGCTGTGGTGGCCATTTTGAATTGCGGTACATCCGGTTACCTAAGTTTCATTAAAACTGATCTAGTCCTTTATGAAATATTTTCGTAAACAAACACAAACAATGGAAACACATCGTCACTCGCCCTTTGCTTTGTAGCAGCAGCTGATAAACACTGACAGGATCATTAAATGCTGGAAGCCATAATAACAGAATGTAAGTAATCAATACAGTAAAGTGGAGAGACAGGATGATCTTCAGACACATCTGCTATTCTAAATTATTCTTTTTTTAGACCTTTGCAAATAAATGCAATCTCACCTGCTATGGAAACTAAGAATAAGTGTATAAATCAAAATGTTTATTGCTCGTTAAGCTACGATGATGGGCTGATTGTTTCCAAGGGTTAATGAAACTTTATTTTCCACAAATGTTTTGTGCTTTAAATATTTTTGTCATCACGCATTTCAAAGCATTAAAATGTATCTATCATACCACCCTGAACAAAACTATATAAACTGCTTTCAACAATAGCATAGCTAAAAGCTAAAATGAGCAAATCTGTAGCTAAAAGCTAAAATTAGCAAGACAAAAATAGGGTAAATGCATTTTCAGAGGACAACGTTTTGGAGGAAACCAAAGTGATCTCAATGTATTTTGATGGGGATTTTTTTTGTAAATAAATTAAATATTTTAAAAAGTATAAAACTTAAAAATACTAGAAGTTATAGTACGCTACACCTGATCAAAACAAGTGTTTTGATTTAGAACGGGTTACAAATAGCACAAAGAAGCAGTTTGAGTAATATTTGTTCTTCTTAATTATTAATTTGAGTTGAGAAATGTATTTCTTTACGTTACTGTATTTGGACCAAACTGGTCCACATTGCCACAAAATGAAAAATCTTACCCAAAACTATAGAGGCAAAAATAAAACTGCATTAAAATACTGACTTTTATAAATGTGACTGAGAAACTTTGCTCGTCTGGACATTACATGTGGAATATTTTTATTATTTACCAGCACTTAACTTACAAACCCCTGATGAGTATGAGCACTTTGCAATTCAAACAGTCCTGTCACAAAGCAGGCCCTGTTTGGTTTAAAACGCAGGGTGACTACACTCAGATCATTGATCACTGCTCCCACTCTCCTCCCACTGACACTGCACACGCTTTGACCTTATTCAAGACCCAAAATCAGACTTTTTGCTGGGTCAACCAAGACCATTAGAGCATTATTCGCCGTCGTGCGTCGTTTAAATGCACGTCAAACACACGGCTCTGTTTACTGATACGACACGAACAATCTCCTCCTTATGGCTGCCATTCTCCGAATAGTTACAACATTTGCTTGTGTCAGACAACGGAGTTCATTCAGTGGATCAACAACAAGACAATGGACACATTTTACGTGGCTGCAAGATTAGGAGGACAATGTGACGCTTCCAAGACATTCTTGGTGCACTGAATGAACAGAGGCGGTCCAGAAAGCCACAGCTGAGCTTCATACAGTGTGTGGTCGAAGCCTAACTGTATTGTAGTGTCACAGTGAGCTGAGTGGGCTGAGTCACGTTGGCTCGAGCCCACTGTAAAACAGTCAGGCAGGTCCGTGCCTAAGACAAACACTTACCAAACAGAAGACGAAATGGAAACAGAAAAAAAGATTCTGAAGGAATTAGATTCAACTTAAAAGGCCTAGCATTACTTGAAGGAACCCATATTGCTCGCTGCCTTAAGAGTTTTAGATACGATTCTGTAAAGAAAGGATGAGTCGTTGCTGTCAAACCTGAAAAACGACACATTTTACGATCTCGTGCACCAACTAGACCCAACAGTCAGGTTATATCTTATGAACGACTCTCAGCCACTGAAACACATAATCTAGCGCAATATCGATTAAACAGACTTGATTAGAACCATTTCGGTGTGGGAGTGGTGGTGAAGAGGTTAGAGAAGGTGGGCCTGTGATCGGTCGGTCGCCGGTTCAACTCCCCGGACCGTCAACATCAAAATGTGTGAAAGATGTAGCACCCACACCTGCCTCCACCAGTTCATATCTTAGATCTTATTACTGTTTTTCTTTTATATTTTATTGCTGGATGTAACTGGGACCCTGCGTACACAATCCTGTTCCACCACATGAGATGCGAATGACAAATCTCTGACTCTGACCACTTTGGGCCCTTGAGCAAGGCCCTTAACCCCCACCGCCTGCTCCCCCAGGCGCCCTAGATGAAGCTCTCTGCTCCACACAGAGGCTGTGGTAGCTCGGGGGGGGGGGGTGTGTGGTTGTGTCAGGAAGGACATCCAGCATAAAAACAATCAAGTCTTTGTGCGAGTGCGTTCACTGTGGCGACCCCTGAAGAAGGGAGCAGCCGAAAGAAGAACAAATAAAAACATTTTGGTGTTTTCTAGGTTCGCTGGGTTTGGGCTGGCTCCATAAACAAACTAATTCATTAATGTTAAAAAAGAGCTGCAGGTGAACATCCAATAACTGTTCCCTGAAAGTTTAATAAAGATGTGTCCAGCGGTGCGTGAGCTAATTCACGAGACGCGGTCGACTCCAAACAGTTCACGGCAAAGTTTTCAACAACGAGCTCGTGCAGTCGATCAGAATATGTGTCAGGGTTCAGCTACCACCACAGCAAGTTCAGAGACAAGTATCTTCAGAAGTGACTGAGTTGTTGCCAAATGTAAGAAAAATACTGCACTGAAAACTTTTTGTTCGGAGGAAAGTAAACGTATTCTGATTTTCGTCTAAAGGGAAAAATTAGCTTTACAAAACTATCAACGCAAAACGCTAAGACGACTCGTTGCAGGGACGATGGGCAGGAACTAAAATACAAAATCCACACATTTTTGTCCTCGTATCAATTGTTTCTGCATCCTTGAATTAAAAATTTGCGAACGACTTCACCATCGCGTGTTTGTTTACCTACAGAAACAGCCAAAGCCTATGGAAGTTGTTTGATGGGATCGCTCATGTTTATGCTCAGTCTTGTAAAGTACGCAGATAAAAAGTACTTTGTTTACATTTACTGCATACCTGCATTTTAGAATTGCACGTCGATACACTGTATCGAGAAAACTACTGCGGCAAACTCTTTCGTGCACCATTTGATATAGTTCAGATACACTTTTGAATATAGTGCCTTTAACATTACATGTCTAATACGACTGCTTATTTATAGACAGAGGGGTTGATTCATATGGCAACATCACTCAGACCAGCTGTGCAGTCATCCTTGCCAAAACTACTACCTAACTCACTGCACATGATGGGAAACACCAAGCTCATCTCACCCCACCGTGTTGGTCTACACAAGATGGATGGCTGCCCCTCCAGACACAACACATAACCCGATCAGGCGCTTTAACTGGACATCTGAACACATACCAACGCAATTAGTTTTAAAGAATATGATGATTAATGTGCAGGAGGATCGATACGAGGCTGTCTGCAGCTGGCTCTGTGAACGCCCTTGTGGTTCTGCTCTGCAGCCCATCCATCCCTGCTGCAGCTGCAACAAGAGCCTCCTCTTCACAGGCGCAGACTGCAAAACATCACCCACAGCCCTCTCTCTCCCCCATTCCTCCCCACAAACTTACTCGTTAATATGACAAACCTACACCCACGTCAAGGCCGGATGACTGGATCGGAGCGATTAAAATGTCTATTTTTTTTTTTTTTTAGGAAACCTCTGCTTTCGCTCCCCGAGACGTATTCAGTCCACAGAGAGCAAAAATAGGTGCCAAGCTAGGCGGGTGCACCAGTTGGAAATAAAGAGGAGAAATAAATCACGCTTACCGCAGAAAATCACATTAATCCATCGGAGTTTTCAAGCAGAACTTCGGAGTATTTGTTGGTGTGTGTGTTTTTTTTCCCCCTCTCCTCTCGGTCTGTGTTTTCTTTTCTTCACAGAGAGGGAGAAAAGCGGAGGGAGACTCGTCCCTGCCGAACCCCGAGCGCCAGTCGCCGCCGTGTGTTAGCTGCGACCGTGGCGAAGCCGTTGGAGCACAACTTCCGGCGGCGCTTTCAAAATAAAAGCAAGGATTTTAGCCAAACAAAATACTTTGACTAATATGAACCTCTACCATTCCCGCTACAGATGCTAAGACATTAGTTTTATTGATTAAAACACAAATAAGTTCATTTAAAACAGGAACCTATTCGCTTTGAATGCTAGCAAACGTTGTTTTACACTTCCGGTCGTGTCCCGTTGTTTTTGACGCAGTGGTTATTACGTACAGCCGATGCATGTTTGACTGACAGCTCTTGCGTCCAATGAGAGATTAGAGTGTAGGCACAATGAGGAACCGCCTCCTCGTTACAACAAGGCCAAACATTTAATGTTTTGCTGATTTATCCTTGTCACTAAAATATGACGCTTTGTAATTTAATGTGAAAGGTGTGTGTTTACATAGAGACGAGGGATGTTCATCCAACCTTTATTTAGATATGTACAAGAGAGACCTGATTTCTTAACATAGTGATGACAACAGTGAGTAGACAGTAATACAGTCAAGAGGCGTACAAAATTTAAATTTCTTTTTGTTTAGCACATCAAAACAAAATAGCAACAAAAAGGACAGTCAAAAGGAAAAGTAGCAACAACAAAAAAAAAAACAATTAGATTATAAGGCGGTGTAGAAAACTAAAAACAGGAGCATATTGGTTTTTGCCATGAACTTAACAGATGTTTGAAGCTACTTGGAGAGGTCAAGGTCGAGAGCTTCAAATCTTTTTGCAAGATATTCCAGGAAACAGGAGCGGAGTAGGAGAAGGCCCTTTTGTCTAATTCAGTCCACAATGAGGGAACGCTGCAGGTAATAATGTCCTGAGAGCGCACGCTGTAGCTGCACTCACGCAGTGACATGTAGGAGGTGTATGAACGTGCTTATGTATATAAGCCTCTGTTTTGGTTTTTATTCCTTTTTTTTTTCATTCAACATTTATTTATACAGGTTCATCCCACTGAGCCTCTGGGACTCATTTACAAGAGAGACCTGAAGCCACATTCAGCAATTTATCTTGAAGATGTGTGAGTTTGTTTGTTTTTTCCACACATTATATGAAGTACAGCAGATAATAAACATAGAGTGATGCATTTTTTAATTCCTTTAGTAATGAAGCATTAGATTAGTTCAGCCATTAAGTAGGTTTTTGCTACATAAAATATGTATGAAACACATCATAATATTTTTGACACTCTATGAGTATGCAAATTATTTTAACCCCGTCTGTGCTCAGGTTATTCTGGCACAGAAGGAACTGGAATTATCAATGTTATCAACAAATCAACACAATAAAACACAAGCTGTGTTCAAATAATTACTGCAGTTTTTATTGCGGTGCAACATGGTGCCATAAAACCGTAGCACCGAGAAGCTTCAATGGTTTCAAAGAAAATTAATTAACATCCGTTGTTCAAAAACCAAGAAAAGCAGTTTTCATTTTTGTAAACTAAAAAAAAGGGTATAAAAAAACTTTCTATTTAGTTGAAGTTTTACATCATAATTTGATCCGCTTTGTCAAGATTCGGTAAATTTGTTGTAATGAATGCCCTCTAAACGTTTGTGTACATAATGTTTGATTTTTCTTGGGGTTTTTATTTTGTATTCTCAAAGTTTATGATGTCATTTTATCAACAGAAATGTCTAATCTGTTGTTTTGATTTAAAAACCCTTCACGCCTCATCGTCTTTGTCCCCAGGTTTCCATATTCATTGCATCTCCTCTTAATAATTAGAGCTTTGCATGCAATCAGAATATCACAACAATGAACGTGGCCTAGTTAGCATGGTGAGGGAGGCGGGGGGGGGGGGGGGTGGCAGCGAAGTCACCCTAATCCTTAACCTCAATCTGCTTTGTGTGTAGCTGTGCAGTCTCCACTCCCCCCACTGCATCTCCTCAACCAGAGGTCACGGTCACCGAGTCCTCACCAGTCGACGTGCAGCCTCCGCCTCGCAGCCATTTTGGAATGGTTACCATGGAGATGTGGGTCATGCAGTGATGGCAGAGAGAGTGAGGCAGGCGGTGTGATGCTGTGGAGATGGAGCACTGCAGGCTGGCGGAGCAGACAGCAGAAGCAGCACAGAGCCATAAACTCTCATTATATCTGGGTCACTGGGATGCTGCAGCTGCAACAAGCAGACACGACATCATTATGCAAGAAGAGAGACGAGGGAAGTTATGGGTGCGGGGGCTTATAGTTACAGGGGGAGGTCTGTTTACTCAGTGGGACATATGTCAGGAGGGTGCCCAGATAATAAAGCACGAGACGAGCTGAGCTGTGCTTAGTCAACCCAGCCGTCTATACACATGATGTTTTGACATGTTATAAATGTGAGGTTCTAATAAACAAGATCTATTTAAAAAAAAATTGTATCTTGAATTTAAAAGATATCGTTCTGTTTCTTCTCACCATTGTAAAGTATTATCTACATCGCATACGTCAAAAATATTTCAATATGGAGAATAAAACACTATGGATGCAGATAAAAATAAATGTGTTTCTAAGCTAAACCATTACAGCAGTGGCAAAAACAGAAGCTAAAACAAAGACGAGAAATTGTCTGAACAAAATCTAAAAATGCAGCATTTTAGAAACTAAAACAAAAAAAAAAAGAGATAGTAGATTTTTATACAAAACACCACCTCTGTGAACACGTTTATTACGAAAGTTATGCTAAATAAAATTTAAAAAAAAGAAACCAATTAAAACAAATTAAAAAGACAGTGGTGTCACAATGATTTCACTCATAACTAAATGAAAATATATATATTTTAAATTGCCAACAATGTAAGAAAAACACAACAATTTAAGTGAAAGGATGTTTTATGTTCTTGTGTGTTTTCTGTCTTTGACTGTGTTGCTGTCTCATTTCTTTGTGCTTCTGCTTCATCCTGCACTCACACTTTGCTCCTTCAGGACAACGTGGAGCCACATTGATCTCTGACGTCACGTGAATGTGCTCGCGTGCAAAGAGCTTTTAGTTTTTAAAACATTTCAACAGTGTTGTTGTTGCTCTCAAACATGGATGTGGAAAGTTGCAGGCCATGTTGTTGTGTCTCTGCCATTGTCCGCCCCCCCCTCTCCATCCTGCTCCGTGACCTCCCCACTCTTCGGATCCCGGACTTCTGATTGGTGGAGACGCCGTGGCGCTGACGTCACCGCCCCTGCGCCCATTCATCAGCGGACTTGGGCGTTGTACTCCGCATCTCATTTGCGGCGGGGCCAATTCTCGCTCGAAAGGGAAAAAAAAAATATATATATCGAAAGAAATTCGCGTTTGGTTTTGCTCTTTTCGCGACATTCTTCGCAGCTGCTGATTTAGCCTCGTTGTTTGTGGTTATTTCGGGCTGTGTCGCGCGCAGGGGGGCTTCGGCGTGCCTTGAATATTTGGGGAGGAAGCCTGCGGTCTTTGTTCATTCATTTGATCGGTTGGGTTCCTTTGTTGGAACAAAGCATGGGAGCGCAAACCTCCAAAGCCGCCGGGAAAGAGGAAGCTGCGGTTGAGAAGCCAGCCGAGGGTGCGGCTGTTGCATCCAAGACGAACGGACAGGTAAACCGAGCTGCGGTTATTTACCTCCTAATTGCTTCACGCGGAGTTTTGTTTTTTTCCGTCTCAATTTGGGCAATGTGTTGCGTCAATGGCGCGCTCCATGTTGGCTGCAGGCGCATCCAGACGCTCACCGGCGTCCAGGGAAAGTGGCCACATGTAATTATTCTCTGCACTTGATGCAGTCCGGCTGTTTGCAACGCGCTTTACTGAAAACACAATTTAATGAATTGTAAGCTGTTGACTCTCTGCTTTTAAAACGTTGCCCTATAACTGTATTACTTTCACAGTGCGCGTTTACGGTTTAAAGTTGTTTTTTTTGGGTGACAAAACATTGCGTGTTTTTATTTATTATTTTTTTTCATCTTATTTGCGAAAATGTGTGTAGCTCGGGTTTGTGCTCGCTCTCACTGTGGCATCACCATCCTCCTCATCATGGCCATTAAAAAAAAAAAGACTACCACGCCTTTGTTGCCAGATTCTAGAGGAAAAAAACCCGTTTTTTTGAACAGATATGAGCAATATAACAAGCAAATTAAAAAAAATCACATGCAATAAAACCAATAAGGAGTTCAGAATAAAAAAAAATGGGATCTGATTTTAACAGTTTATCAAAAGAAATCAAATCTGTTGTTTCCGTCGTCTTTAAACTGAACGCCCTCTGGTGGTTGTCGGGTGCACTGCAGTCTAGTTTGCAGCTAAAAATCAGAGCTCTGTCGTCATTCTCCTAGTAACAGATGTTTCTGCAGGTTTCGGGCTATTTTTTCATTGGTTGCTACTAGTCTGAGAATTTAATTGGATATAGTGCTCTATATTTTGCTGTGTATTCTTGGACACATGTTCACAAACGTCCTAATATTCATGTTGGTTGCAGATCTGCATCATCTTTGTCTTAAATGAGACAGCAGTGTATTCATAAATAATGTTCACACTGCTTCTCTCCAGGAGAACGGCCATGCCAAAACCAATGGAGATGCCTCTCCCGCTGCAGAGGAAGCCAACAAGGCTGATGTGCAGGTCAATGGAAGCACACCCACCGAGGAGGCACCCAAAGGTGAGGGTGAGAAAGTAGAGGGTGCTGAAGCCAGCGGAGAGAAGGAGTCGTCCGCCACGAACGGAGAAACTTCTGCCAAGGCTAACGAAGGCACCCCGTCCACCAGCGAGGAGGGCAAGCAGAAGAAAAAGCGCTTCTCTTTCAAGAAACCCTCTTTTAAGCTCAGCGGCTTCTCCTTTAAGAAGACCAAGAAGGAGTCCGAGGAGGCGGCGGAGGAGGACGGAGCGGCGGCGGCGGGCGCAGAGCCGGCCGAAGGAGAGAAGCCCGCTCCAGAGGATGCTGAAGAGGCCAAACCAGCTGAGGGGAGCGGCGAGGGAGCCAAGGAGGCTGCAGCTGAGGAGCCAAAGGCTGAGGAGGTGAAGGCAGAGGGAGGTGCTGAAGGAGAAGAGAAGGCAGCTGCAGCTTCTCCGACCGAGCCAGAGACGGCAGCCAGTCCAGAGGCCGCCGCCGCCGAGTAATCCTGCTGAACGAGACACCGGAGTGAAGGAGAAGATGTAGCCTGTCTGAAGGAATGCGAGGACTTTTCTAAAACCAGGGATTATTTTTTTTTTAATTTTTGGTTAATTTCCTTTTTTTTTTTTGTTGTTGTATGTTTACTACTCTGCATCATCTCATCCATAATGACTGCAACGTCCCAGGCAGTGATGGACAGGAGGTGCAGCGGAGTGTGAGCTGCTTCCTCACTGCTAAATGGTGCTTGCATTTGTAACGTGGGTGAGTGTGAAAGTGCAAATGTGAGTGGGGGGGGGGGGTTTTTTTTTTTTTTTTTTTTTTTTTTGTGTGTGTGTGATCTAAACATGATACCATGACACGTTGCTGAATTTTTACCATATATTTAATCAAAAGTATTTGGTGCTGGGCAATTGGATGTAGCAGCTAAAGCTGTGTCTGCAAGATCTGACACATTGTGATATTTAAAGGGAAAGTCCTTATTCGAGTCGTAAATGTTGTCATTGCAGTGCACAGTTGTTTACAACTTTTAAAAGCTCCTGTGAACACAAACCATTCCTGAAAATAGATTTAGCTGTTAACAATAGGTGCTCATCACTTTCCATTAGACTCCACGTTTCAACAGTCTGTAGTAATGCACGTTGTATAGCCTTTGATATTACTGGTTTTATGGCTGAGATGTACCTAATGACTGACGTTTTTAACCGATTACCCATTGTAAATGAGTTTTTTTTTTTTTTTTTTCACCATTTGTAAGATTAAATAAAATTGGGAGATGTTTTAAGCAGACCTTGCATCAAGCTGTGATGACTCCAACACCACTTTGAGGCGACACACGAAAGCACACAGTCAGGATCTACAGACGCAGCCGTTCAGTGTTTTCTTTCTGTATATACCCAGGCTCACCTTCTTCAATATGGAATGTAACATTGCCTGCAAGCTGGTAACGAGGTGTTGAGTTAATTTTCTGTGAATTCTGAAGAATAAAGCAAATGAAGTGTGAATTGGCACTGTGAGCTCGTTTCTTTGAAACATCCGCAAAAGAAGGTGCGTTTGTAATTTGGGTTTAGACAAGTCAGCGCCGGGTCCGTACATACACCTTTTTTTATTTTATTTGCTTTTAGCTCTCAAGTGGAGCTACAGAAAAATAGGCAATGTTTCAGTCAATCTAAATGTACAGGCAAGTGAGCTTGCTGTGGCAGCCATCTTGGATTGGACTGACACCAAAGGTATTCAGTTCTAGAGGTACAGTATTATAAGGCGCACTTAAAATCCTTTTAATTTTCTCAAAGATCGACATTAATAATCGACATTACCTGGTGCACCTGTCTGGATGTGCTTACTCACCTCGAACAGATTTTTATGTGGTTGTGAATGAGCTGATTAAAGTTCGACTTATCCGACTCTTTGTTTCAATGCATGTGCCTTCTAGTACAAAACATACGATATATCCAAGGAGTACTTTCTGCAAGTTTCATAAAAAATTTTTAAGCAATTCATAAGATATTTTGCTAACATAGAAGCATTTTTCACTCGGCCTTCGCCTTTCGGTGGATGAACCTTTTCCCATCCTGATCTGACATCAGCTCCACATTTTGTTTTCAACTGGTTAAGTTGGGACATTTAAAAATATATATATTTTTGAGGAACTACAATATAATCATCCCACAAGATTCAGGGTGACTTGAGATTTATTCAGTCACAAAATAACCGTCTTGTGAAACAGACATTTTAAGGTGGAAGCTCTATTTATGGTCACGTGTTCCCAATCAACACACTGGTGTTCCTTCCAGCAAACCTCGGTGTTTTTGTAAAAACCACCAGAATCTTTATAAAAGTTTCGAGGATTGCTTCAGACTTCTCCGGCGTGTTTTTATAGCCGTCCACAGCTGTGTCCGTGTTCCTTTCAAACCATCTATTTCCTCTGCACCCAGTTTAACCTAGCTGTGGCCGCCGCAGAAAGGGTGTGCTTTGCATGTAATATTTCTATTCCTGCTTCCTGGTTTGCTCGTCCAGCTTTGTTGTCGAGGTGCCTGCTGCTCTGTTTGTGCAGCTTTTTGTTGAAATATCCTCCATTTTTTTTCTCTGGGTGCACTTGTATTCAAATCAGAAGCCAGGTGAGCAGGAAGGCTGGAATAAATATAGACGAGGTAAATTTGGGAGTGTGGTTTGTAGAGTCAGCAGAGGAATGTCCCTCCATGCACCAACCACAGTTTGTCTCAGTGGTAAAGGCACTCTCAGCAGTTCCTTTCAAGCAGCTTCGGACCCTCGGGCTGCTCACCTAACCACCGTCTCGCCCTCTCACCAAAGGGACATCAAACAGCTGCTGCCCTGCCTACCAACCATCCCTGTCCCTCATCCCACACCCAAGTTATTTCCAGCGCTCCCACACTCTGACTTCCATGGTCAAGTAGGCTCGAAAACTTCAGCTGCAGAGCAGACAGCCATTATTCATATACTGGTGAAAGTTGTTTTTTTTTATTAACAGTGGATGTCATCAATCTCAGCCTAAAACTACAGTCAGTGAAAATGACATTAATTTGCTTAAGTACCTTATGGAGTTACTCAAAATACTTTATTGTGGGGGTCGGTTAGCCATGGGAAATGATTGATTGTAGCCTACATTCAAAACCCTCTAGACTAGATGTGTCAAACTCAAGGCCGGGGGGCCAAATGTGGCCCTCGTTGACATCTTATCTGGCCCCCAAGATGATATGTGAAACGTCAAATACTTCTATCTCTTGAATTTTTTTCAGAAATCTTTGATTATGATGTTGAAAGCACAACAGAGAACATCAAATGAGACCAATCAAACTCTTGAGGGACCAAGAAAAGATGTTGGGTATCTGATAGGCCTAAATCAATTAAGCTCATGACAAATAAAAATTATCAACCTCATTTTCATTTATCAGCTTCATCGTTTCTTCGTGTCTCTCTTTCTACTGAAGACACTGGAGGATAAAAGGCTCAACTCAGGTGCTCTTCACTGATCCCTCCCTTTCTCTTTTCTCTTTAAAATCCGTTTTAACAATCCAAAATCACGTTTTTGGATTGTTAAAAGCAGCTAAGCTACGAGCTAAGCTAACAGGCTGACCTCAGGAAAAAAAACCTCCGTCTTGTCAAAGCTCCAAAATTCACAGTTGAAACCCGTGCCTTCATCTAAAAATTAGTTTTTCTCTGCAAAAAGAAGCTGAGAACTTGTTTACTATTTTTTATTAAAAGCTTTGTGTGACAAATGCTACGCTAAAGAGCTCAAACCGCACCGAGCGTCCGCCATTTTGGTAACCAATTGTAACCAATTGTAGACGCACATTCAGTGATATATTTTGCTAACATACAATGGTTGACTCTAACAGCTAATGTAAAAGTTTTAAAAAATACACAAAATGTGTGGTTGGTAGTCCTCAAAGTATGTGTTGGGGGTGACGCTCAGCTACCACCAAACCAAATGTTTGCCCAATTTCTGTCAATTAAAGAAGCTGAAGATATTTTTGTGTTTGCTGAGGTTCAATTTGAAGTGGCGGACATCTTGATTCAGGTTGACACCAAAAGTTAAAAGTTGTACACCCTATAATTTCATTAAAATCTTTGGTTCACGAGTTTTGTCAACAAATTTGTCTCCAAAAGTTATTGCCAAAGTTTAAAAAAAAAGGCCCTCACAGGATTTGTTTGTGCTTGAGGTGTGTGCTGGGGATGACTCTCAGCCACCACCACACCAGATCCTAGCTCAGTATCTGCAACACTCACTGAGTTGTAGCCATTTCTGTGTCTGCAGGTCATTTAGTTATGGTGGTCATCTTGAATAAGGTTAACTCTAGAGATGTGCATTCAGTAATCACGTTCTGACAGTTTCATTCAAATTTATCTCATGGGTCAGGTAATATTTTGCTAACACGACACAACACGCACCCTCACACAGAGAGAGAGGCCGTTATATTATTGTCCCCTGCCAAATGGCAGATAATAAAAATCAGAACTAAGCTTAATTATAGTTTGTATGAAGATAAAACAAAACACACATAAAGACGTGGAGTCCAAGAATATAGTATACAGATTTCAAGATTTTTGCCTTAATGTAATAGTTCAGATCTCAGCAGACAAAGGAAGGTGCACAGTGATTTTGAACCAGAAAGACTATCATGAGAAAGTTATGACACTCCTTAGTGACTTAAACACTTATGAACCTCTGAAAAGAGATCCAGGAAGTGGTTACAAGAAGAAGTTGATAGATTGCCTGAAAATTTTGGAGCAGGACAAGGCTATTGACCGTATTCTGTACCACAGACTGTACCCAGGGGAGGCCACACCTAGTCTGTATGGTTTACCTAAAATCCACAAACAAGGTGTACCTTTAAGACCAATCGTTAGCATGATTAACTCTGTCCCTTACAATGTTTCCAAATATCTGGCGTCTGTACTCATCCCTTTAGTTGGCAGCTCAGAACACCACATACAGAACACCATGGACTTTGTGGATAAGGTGAGGGATGTCATCATGGAGACTGATGAAACAATAGTCTCTTTTGATGTCACATCACTCTTTACGTGCATTCCTGTTGATGATGCAGTAGAGGTGGTCAGTTTAAGATTAAAATCAGACACCACTCTGAGCAGCAGGACCACACTTTCCACAGAACAACTGTGTCAACTCTTGAAACTGTGCCTGCAGTCAACCTACTTCACATATGGGGAACAATATTATAGGCAGAAACATGGGTGTGCTATGGGGTCTCCAGTTTCTCCTATTGTTGCCAACCTGTACATGGAGGAGGTAGAAAAGAGAGCCTTGACGTCCTTTTCAGGGACACCACCAAGTCATTGGTTCAGGTATGTTGACGACACCTGGGTTAAAATTAAATCTCAGGAAGTCCAACATTTTACTGACCACATCAACTCTGTGGATAAATACATCAAGTTCACACGAGAAGATGAAAAAAATGGCAAGTTGCTTTCTTGGGGCAGCACAGTGGCGCAACTGGTAGAGCTGCTGCCTCTCAGTGAGAAGGTCCCTGGTTCAAATCCTGGTCCTGGGGCCCTTTAGGGTGGATCAAAATATCCTGATGCATGCTCAATAATCCAGGTAGAAAAATCTAAAAAGTTAAATCTGGTCCTCTGGACATTCAAAACAAAGCAAAACAACAAAAAATATAGAAACGTTTCGTCTCTCATCCGAGAGACTTCCTCAGTCTGAGGTGCTGTATTCAGCTCAGTCTCTTAAATAGCACCTTCTCAGAGTGGATCAACCAGTTTGCTGCTGACAACCAAAACCAGCTGATCACATGCTCAAGAAGGACCATCAGCCTAACAATGGATCATTAGC